AGGACCACGCAGCGCGGCACCCTGCGCTCTCTCTAGCGAGTAGAGAAGGGAGAGAAGTCGAGCCTCAAACGGTGTTTAGGGACTTTCAAAATTTTTTATGTTGTAACGTGTATTTTTCACCTAATTTTAGGAAGGAAAAGGTCTCCGGGGTGGGTGAGTCAATTGGACGATCAACTTTTATCTCAACTCAGCTTTTTGCACGAGACAAACATCTTATCCACCCCCGGGGCCCCTCCTTTTCTTAAAAAATAGGTTTTATCGGCTCAGAAGAAGACTACCCATAATATGCAAGCATACAGTTTGTTCTGAATCACGAAACACATCAGTAAACCTCACCATTCCTTCCCAGACTCAGGCCCACTATAACTCCGGAGAGAGCGCAGGGCCGCGCCGGTGGTCCCCCCAACCCACTTAGCACAAAAGATCGTCCTTCCACTGCAAGTTGGACCAACATAGAAAAAAAAGGCTTAGCTCTCTCTACAGCTCCATCCATTTATTCCAAAGTTAGTAGCTGTAAAGTAACACGTACAGGTCGCAGGGTGATCACGGCTAACACACTTCAATCTACGACGCGTCGTTGCGACAGTATTTACTCAGCTTACGGTTCATACTACGGTAGGAATTTAGATTGTAATCTTTCGAGGCTCTAATTTCTAATTTATGCCGTGGCGCCAATGAGAATTATTTCAAGCCGTGTCCGGTTTCTAAGTATTACTTCGCACTAGCAAGGATAACTGCCTTCATTATAAGTGCACGTCTCAAAGTTGTTCCAGCATTTATTTTATGGCCAAGTACTAGGAAATTCACAGAATGTCTTGTCGTTCTTGACAGATGACGTCGTATCAAATTCGAAGTTCGTGGTAATCTTATAGAAATGCTATATGCGAAAATCTTTCGGACTTATTGGATGGCTTTAGATTTCATTTGGAATATTTATGTAATCTGTGTAACATAGACTATTCTCGCGTAACCCTTCGTGGAGCATTCTGTAAATACCGTTTCCAGGCAGGTTTTCAGGTGAAATATGGACTTCACTTCAGGCGAAGTGGATGATAGGACAAAGCCATTCGATTTCGATGTCTCACACAGAGATCTTATACATCAAGTTGGTCCAAACATTTTTCTTAAAAAATCTATCTTCTATTGTTCTCATTTTTTCTTGTAATTTTTGTTTCTACTACATTATATCATATGGTTTTTGGGCTCGTTAATTAGACTGTCGAAGCGCCACAGGTCCGTGAAATGGGTCACAGAACTCTGGAAACCTTATGGGGGTTTTTAGGCATACGACCCTTTGTTTTCCCCAGCGGTTTACGGCACGCCACAAAGTCACTCTTTTGGATGTGTGAGCTACGCGTTATGTTGCCAAGTGAGGTTTTCCTCGTATTCACGAATAAGCAGGACACATGGTCTTTTCTAAGTACTCATAAACGCCTTTTGAAAGCTTAACAGTCTCTTGTGGTAAAATCCTTTATAGCTGGTCTATAAGTATAGCAAATCTTTGTAGTGTAGTCTTCCTATCACTATCTATCTATTTAAACCTACCTTTATTCTTCAGTGAAGGTAAATGACATGTGAAAATTTTATGTCATTCTTTTTGGACAGTTGGGAACAGCTCGTTTTCGTTTTTAAAAAACTGTTTGAAGGCTTGCTACCAAGCACAGTTCGTGTTTGTCAGTTGAAGTGCCATTGTGAGATCGGTGGCATTCTAGCAGTGTGTTGAGAAATGCAAAAAAGAGAATAACTTAGCAAGTACCTTATCTCTTGCTTGTCAGGTTGCGTTTGATCATCATGGTCGAAGGTTAGCGACATGCTCTAGTGATATGACATTGTCAGTGTGGGATCGAGGTTCCGATGGGACATGGACGAAGGCGGCAAGTTGGAAGGTTAGGTAGTATTCCTATGGGCAATGCTTGTTTTTACCTTTTTCACAAGCAGCCAGAGATGGCTTCAACAAGTTCAAATCTTTAGAAAGAGCGTGAAGTTTTTCACTTTTCATCTAGCTCTCCACTTTTGAGTGCTTAACTGCCTTTGTACAATTTTTCCTTTGCTTCGTTGCATGGCTGTTCTTTCTCGTACTCAGGTGCATGGTGGTGCTGTTTGGCGGGTTGTGTGGGCCCATCCCGAATTTGGGCAGTTGCTTGCCACGTGTTCCTATGATCGTAGTGTTCATATATGGGAAGAAATTCGAAGTGGTCCCGGTGCAGGTAAAGCTTTCGGAGTTTTTGAAGCTCGCTGAGATACTTTTCGAGTATAGTCGTTGTGGGAAGCATTCAGCTCAGGAAAAACGAAATATTTCAAGAACTTTTTCTTTATTCGAACCTATTTTATGCTCATTGAAAAATTTTCTTCACTTCAGAGGGACGCAAAGGAGCCCGTTGGGTACGGAAAGCCTATCTAACTGATAGTCGAGCGAATGTTACGGACATTGCTTTTGCGCCACGGCACCTTGGCCTTATGTTGGTGAGTGGCATTGCTTAAAATTTAGCTGTAATATTGTGAGTAGCAGCGAGGAGCAATTCTCTGCTTGCCTCTTCATACTGACCTTCCAACAAAAAGACTGGAAACCCCCTGAGTGTCATACTTGGTTTAACTGAGTATCGAAAGCAAAGCAGCTTTTCGAGCAACAGAAGACCTTTCTTTTTGTGGCTCCTACCTTATTAGTGTCCTTTCGATTCTGTGTGCAGTTTATTCCATTGCCAACTTTTGCTCTTGTTCAGGCAACAGTATCTGCACAGGGAATAGTTCGGATATACGAAGCTGCTGATGTAATGGACCTTTCTAGATGGTCTCTTTGCCACGAACTTCAGGTATGTCGTTACACGCGGAGGTGTTTTTCAGCGTGTGATTGGCATGTTTACATGTAGTAGTTTTTGTCAATGATTTTCTACTTTTGTATTGTTCTCATATAAAGGGTCACACTGTGGGAAGCGTTTCCGTAGAGTTTCAACTCTGTGGTAGGACATAATGGCAAGCGATCGCCTTTCCCAGTTTCCTTCTTGAACTGTTTTCTTTCCAGGCATTCTACACGAGATGTGGTAGTGTTGAGTGGAGCCGATCTCGAATCCATCGTCCCCTTCTAGCGGTTGCTTCAGACGATAAACGTGCCGAGAACGATGAAAGGATAGTGATATACGAGCACAATGAAAATTTACGGTATGCTATTGAATGCTACAGACGCGTTGGATTATCAGTCACCGTTCAAACTGAAGTGTTAGAGTGGTACTTTGAAGGGTTCTAACCAACAGAGTGGATTTGTAGTTTTCGGCCAGGGCGATTTTTGCAAACTGGGCTTATTTATGCGTTGAGATTGCAACACATTGTCTTGAGTCCCTTTCTCGAGACATGGCACATGTCACTTGTTTCTAGAATCAATTGATCTCTGTTTATCCTAATCAACTGCGATTCTAATGAAGTTACTTTTTGTTTATGGCTTATCGGTATTGTATTGCCTCAGCACAATTGAGCAATTTTAAAGAGCGAAATCTGTAGCACATTAGACGGGTTTAAATTCTGAAGAGCCCTGACATGCTTTCTATCTTTTATTTTCAACTTCAATGTCATCTTCTCCAATCATTTTCCAGAAAATGGCAGCGTGTCGTTTCCCTCAGGCTTGATCTCGCATTTCCGGTTACCGATCTTCGATTTTCTCCAATTGCCCTTGCCCATTCACATCAACTAGCAGTGGCTGCAGGAGACGTACACGTCTATAATATCAAGGTAAGTAATGATTATTTCAATCTTATATCATGCTGAGCTCGCTGAAAAAAGTGTAATGTTTGGAAATGTTGAAGAATTACTCGGTAAAAGCTTCGATGCACTATTTAATGTTCGGACCCAAATTGCTAGGATGAATCACGAGGAGGCGCGTCACTTCTGTGCCGTTTTCTTCGAGGCTTTCTGTTTCCTTGACTGACCGCTTAGACGTTTTTCGAGAGAATGTCTTGAATAAGTTTGGAAGCAACTGCATTTCAAGGCGAGATGTTTTGCATTACCGATAAGGTCGACTTCTTTGGCAGTAGAAGATAAGACTGCCTCTTTTGACAAATCATTGTATGGGAACCAAGAACGAAGAAACGTAGTGGAGTCAATGGGCTTTTCTTTGATTGTTCCGCTCTTACGCATCAGATTTCACGCATTGTTTTAGATTCCCGTCTCAGCATTTGTCGATGATGACAACGGTACTCCGGAGAATGTTCCAACTGACGCCACAGAATACTCTGCGACAAAGGTTTGTGCATTGCATACTGGCGATCATGCAAAGTGAAACTGTCGAGTTCCTTCATGAGAAGAATTTGTTGGGGGAGGCGGGCGTTAGGAACGATTTTGGGTAATCGATTTGCCGCACGCGGCTGTCGCGGTCCACTCATTCGCCGTTATTACAGCTCTAGCATTCTTCATACAGCTCAATCGATATGCNTTCGAGAGAATGTCTTGAATAAGTTTGGAAGCAACTGCCTTTCAAGGCGAGATGTTTTGCATTACCGATAATGTCGACTTCTTTGGCAGTAGGAA